AGAAACATCCACTCTTGAGTTAAAAATCTCCAGGGCTGGAGAATCCGCCACAACCCCTGGTAACTTGTTCCAATGGTTAATCACCCGCATCGTTAAAATATTTTGCGTATTTCCAACTGGATTGAAGTCAAGATCTGGCGTTTGACTTTTTGCAGGTCACTGAGTTACTTTCTTTCTTAGGCTCTCATGTGCTAGCACAAGGCTATGATGTTTGGATGCCACCAAAGCAGGGAAATTTTGAAATCCAAATCAAACTCTTTGTCCTGAATAACGTGCTTCACGCAATCTGATGAAGCCATTCTATAGGGATTAGGGTTTGAAATTTTTGTAACAAGAACCACACCTAAATTTCAGGCCTGAAGTGGCTGAAAATCCATCGATGTTTAAGGCCAGAAGGGACCCTTAGGATCTCCAAGTCTAACCACCTGCATCACAAAGTGTCCCTTTGAGGAAAGTTTAACCTTTCCTGTGAACACAGAGAGCAATGCAGAGCTCGCACTAAATATGGCCCTGACTTGCACTGAAGTCAAAGGGATTTCCCGTGTAAGTGAGCACATACCAGAATCTGGCCCTAAGCAACTAGTCAGCCAATATACTAGTCCAGGAAAGCTATCAGAACAGAGCGACCCCCGGATATCTCTCCTGTGATTGGAGTTGTAGTTAGTTGCTTGTTTTTTCACGCTGAGTTTCGGTTTGCCTGGGTGCCAGGAATCACTATCATGGCTCAGACTAACCCGGGGTGTGTGGATTGTAATCACATTGTGTTGGGCTCAGATGGTGGTTGGCCCATGTCCCGCTACACACCACCACGACATTACTGATGTGCACCGTATTTCATAGTCCGTAACCAGTGTCTATTCCTGGGGCCGGTCTGCGCTGGGAAGTTACATAGCGTTAGAACACGTGGTAACCAAACGCTCAGGCCCTGATTCCCATTGACATTAAGGGCATTTTACAGTGATCTGGCAGTGGGAAGAGGCCAGAGCCTTAGGGTAAATGAGTATCAGGCCTTGAAACATTTAGCAGTATGTTAGCCGGATGTGGGTAACCAATATGATGTTAGGGGTAATCGTGTCCAGTTAGTGTGATATTATAGACATTGTGTGGGAAAACATAGCCGTTTTCATCATGTTTGCAAATAGCTCACATTGCCTAACGTTTTTTCTGGAAGTCTTTGAAGTTGCCTGCCTAGAATTAGCTGGACTATCTGGGTGAGTCAGTGACTACAAAAGAGCTGAACTTTACAATCCTACTTGCTTGCACGTCAAAAGATTTTGAAAATTGTGGCTGTCTGATTTTACAGCGATCGCTGCTTTTGCAAATGTGATATTAAATGGGTTGGAAATGCTACTTCCACCTTCTGCGTACTTAGCAGGTTTAATACTTGCTTTTTTTGTTACAACAATAAAGCGTCTCAATGGTTAAACTGAATTGTTTTTCCATCATTTATCCACGATTTTGGTTATTCCACCCTTTTAAAGGGAACATTTTAACTTTTCAAATTTTCCTGCAAGAAAACTGTTTTCCCAACTGGAAATCTTCATTTGGGGATTTTTCCTGAAGGAAATTCCTACTTTTCCCGGCTTGGAAATTGCGTACCTACTGACAATATGGGGTAAATCACGTATGAGACTGGGGATGGAGACACCAGGGCAAAGGAAAGGGCCTTATTTAAAGAGGATTCGGTGGTGAAGGTGATGATGGGCTGGGACGAAGGCAGGGATCCCAGTTTACAAGCAGGGAATGGGATTGGGGCCAGTGTGGATTTGGAAGGACCTTGGGGGTGGAGAAGGGAAGAGGAAAATAGAGGAAGAGGAGAAATGGAGCATGGACATAAGTGGATGCTTCCACACTTGAATGGCCACATCACAGACAATAATGGCCACTTCCTTGAACCCCTAGAGTCTCATTCCCCATGGAGCCGAAGCAAAGAATTTTAACACATGCAAGGGACTTACTGGGTTGGGACTGTGTCTCCTGTGGTGCATCCTCTTCCCCTTGCAGTGGGATGGCCTGCACGGCTACCAGGGGTCCAGAGACGCCGGGGCGTGGCCCAAGTCTCAGAAGGGAGTGTCTGGTTCTCCAGCACTATGCCATGCACCATGGTAGCCTGCATTTGGCTTTCCATACTTGCGCTGGAGCTGTTGCTCATGACAATGTCCATTTCATCAACTTAGGCCTGGTCTACACTATGGGTTTAGGTCAACTTTAGCAGCGTTAAATCGAATTAAGCCTGGACACGTCCACACAACGAAGCCCTTTCTTTCGACTTAAAGGGCCCTTTAAACTGGTTTATTTACACCATCTTCGACGAGGG